GGTTTTTTTTTTTTTTTGGTTATCTGTGTATTTCACTGTCTTGTCACTATTACAGTTTTAAAACCATTTTTATTTAATAACGAGCAAGCTGCTGATTTTCAGAAAACTCATATACATAAGAGCTAATACATGGCAAAGAGATTGAAATCTGATCCAGAGATTTCGGGTTCATATCTCTTCTCTGCTGGATAGCCTTAGGCAAAGTCTTCTCTTCCCCAAGCCTTATTCCTTAGCTGTAATACAGGCCTAATGACACTAGCCTATTTAACAGGATTGCTGATATAATTAGAACAAGAGAATGTATGTGAAGACACAAAACAGCAGCAGGGGAGCAAAGTTATCGGTCTCTTCTCTTCCCCTTTCTTCATTCCTATGTTCCTAGTGACTCTGCCTCTCAATCCCCTCAACTTCTTTCCCCAAGGCAGCGCACAGCTAATCAGTATTTCAGAGAGATGGAGTGAAAAAGAAATAGAAGAACTTTCCTCTGTTCATCTCTCTGCATCCTGCCACTGCCGTTTTCTCTCTACCACTACTTAGAAAAAGAAAGGGAAGTATGGGCACTTCCACGTAGCAGTTTTTACTTTCAAATCTCCCCAAGCAATCTGAAATGGGCCTGCCAATATTTTTCACTCCCATCAACTTCTGAATCCTGGGAATCCCATCAGCTTGTGTTCTTTTTCCAGCCAACCAAAAGGAGCATGCGAAAAACATAATGCAGTTGGTGTTTTGCTTAAACAAAGCAATAAAACAATGCCCCCCACCCCCACTCCCATCCCCACCAAGAAGAAATGAAGTAAATTGCTAGCTGCGCACATTTGCTGATTATTTGCAAAAGAGCCTGGATGTTTTTAACAGGATGAAGCTGCCTGATTACTCAGCCATCACTCCTATTATAGATTTTATTAAAAATTAGGAAGTTAGTACAATTTGTCATCAGTATTGCAACCAGGCCCTTAATATAGTATTTTCAATTTTGACTATAGGCTGCAATGATGGCATATGGGTCAATATGTTCAAAACAAAATACTGTTTACATTTTTTTAGGCTCCAGTAACTAGTACACCCACCATCTCTATTACACTAGAGTAATACAAATCTTCTTAATATAAGTGGCCTAATGCTTTGCATGTCCCCTTGTTCTCTGACAAAAAGAAGGAGAAAATAGAACTTTTTTCAGTTTCACCCCAGGAAGCTTGCTTGAATGATTAAAGCTTGCTAGGTGGAGGAGAAAAAAGAACTCTGATATCATGGCTGCAAAGATGGAGAAAACTGCTAGATGGCAGCATACAGATAAAAGAAAGGTAATTCTGTACTGCCATCTAGTGGTCACTTGTACTTTTGCTGACTAACATGTTAGTCATGGGGATGCAGGAATAAAGAATTCTCCAATGGGGAAATAGGCGAAGTCAAATGCAGAAACAGTCAAAGAAATTATTCATATAGTCTGTATTGCAAAAAGAAAGATTAGTTGAGTACCACTAAGCTGGAAGTTGTCTCATCTGCTAAACTCAGCTGATGTTGAAGATCTCTGGAGATGCTTCGATCTAGCCCAGAATCCTTGTGTAGCAAAGACCTAATACATTTCTCAGAGGCAGGTTGTGGAAGGAATGGGCAAAGGGGCTGGGAATTCTTCAGACTTACAGAGATACATACCCAGATACTTATTACAACATTCCATTTCTGGGTAAGCCACATTATGCAAAATTCAGAAAGGGAGTATTAATAAAAATAAACTGAAGAAATTAAGGGCATGTGATAAGAAAATAAAAACAGAAAATAAACTAGTTTACACCAATACCCCTCATATCTTTCCATACCCTTTCTGTCCTTGAAAACCATCTTGCTTCTTCTCCATCTCATATTTTAATTAGAGCCAAAGAAAACAAGCTCACAAACAAAAATATAATCTGTTTAATTGTAATGTATGAAGAAATTGTAGAAAAAAGAGAGAAAAAAACAGCCAAATATGAATACTTTTCTTTATGAATAAAAGCACAGGCAAACTGTGGTTTTGAAGACCTTATTTGAAGACTGAGTTTGGCAGATTTTAATTGGCTTCTGCAGTATTTGCTTATTTATTTAGACTTTTTTTTTCTCCAGCAGTTCATGGAAGTATACATTTCAGTTTCAGTTTTTCTCCACAAAACTCCTGTGAGGTCTGAAAGAAAGTGAATGTCCCAAAATCCCCCAATGAGCTTTCATGGCTGAAAGCAGAATTGGATCTGGATCTCCCTGGACCTAATCCAGTATCTTAACCACTGCAGCACGCCGGCTCTCACCTCTCACAATGCTATACTCATTACAGCAGCAGGAAAAGAAAATTCTATGCTATCACTACAGCATAAGAGTAAACATAATTACAATTCAGGATTATCATCATTTTTTCCCTTTTGGTCACATTATAAACTATAATTTGATAACAACGTTTGGAAATTTCTGGGAGGCTAGATCCTGGAAAGAGCTACAGCCAGGGCAACAGTTGGATAAGAGACAGCTTAGCCCACAAAAGGAATGTGGACATGGCAAACATCTCAGAAGGGACTCTCCCTAGTTTCTTGGGCTGTAAAGGCAACAGAGGAGAAATGTACTTTCAGACTTGCAAGATTCTATTGATTTAACCTTACAATAAAGTAAAATTAGTTCATCTGGGCATGCTTCATGTCTGGACTATCAAGCAAGGCTGACATTAAGGTAGAATTGAGATGTTGGCATATATCTCAATAATTGCTTTGTATTGTATATTTTATTTTATTTTATTATATATGTGTTTCCCATTTTGTGTTCAACTGCACCTTTGGAAAACAGAAAATGTGCCTTTTGTTTGCTTGATTTAACTCAAATTAAGTCTCTCAGTTTTTAGCAGGTGGCATCTCTGGCTCACTGGGTCTGGGCTTAGAACTTAAGCAGGATTGGGACATACCAGGAGAGCAGGCTAGAGGGGTGGGGTGAGGGAGGAGAACCATTCCATAAAGCAGTAATGGGAAATCACTTCCATACTGTGCCAGGAAAAACTACAGTACATAGAAGTTGCAAAGCATTGAGCTCAACTTAAAGGAGACTTTATTTAAACCTTTCAAATATGCTAGTTGTAATAAACGCAGCAAATCAGTCTTTCCTCCTTTCTTCCTCCCCCTCGCAGTCCCAGCCATAATGATTATTGTGTAAATTGAACACAGAAAGAATTATCTTTGCATCAGCCATACAATAGATTCCTTTAATGGAAAAATCTGCTGAAAATAATTTACAGATGAAACTTAGATGGAATTTGGCTAATTCTCATTAACCTGTTTTGTTAAACATTTACACTTCTCCTGGATTTTATGGTTTCAGGTAGCAAAACTCTTCACTGAAGCTCTCCAGTATTCTGGAAAACTGGACTGTAAAAGCCTCTTCCACTATAGATGGTTGAATACCAGCACTGCAGCATAGAAGAAAACTTCCTGGCAATGAAGAAATTCCATTCCTTAATGAGATTTTTTTTTTTTTATTGTGTAAATCCTAATGTCAGTTAACATCTTTGCACCCAGCATTTTATCTTATGCTTTGGAACTCTATGCCAGCAGTTTCCCCCAAACTGGATTTCTACTGCCAATGTGGTAGCAACCATCAACATCATCCTCAGCCAGCAGTGCAGTAGGATTAGAGTTGCCACATCCAGGTGATAAAAATTGAGGTGACGGTTGTCTTACAACAAACAGATACAGAAAACTCTAATTCTTTACTGCCATGTATTGGTCGTCTGGATTTTTGCAGCCTGGATATGTCAGCTCAGAATAAGATGCGATGTATAAAGATGATGAGAATTTTACTCTAATATACTTTAGAAATAAGAAAGGTTGTGTTCTTGATCTTTATTGCTCTATAGGCTGGCTTAATTCCAAAGTATCTTGAAAACTGGCTAAGTGTGATGGAATGGAATTATGAAGGCCAGACTCAGGGAGAAAAACATTTTCTTAGCTCGGCGGAGGAATGGGGGAGAGACAAGAGGA